AAGGTTATTAGTTTTTAGTCAACTTTATAAGGGTAAGTCAACATTTGTCATGGCAGGAAGCCCAACATTATTATTTTTATTAGTCTGCTACTAGTTAAATTGGCCTAAGATTAAACAGTTCTAATAAATGCCCCCAAAAGTTGGAGTTTAATAAAAAAAAAATACATTGAAGCTCTGTTCCACAGGATGTTATCACTATTTAACCTTTAGCAGGATAAAAAACCAAAACAAACAAAAAAAATTAAAATAGAGAAAAGAACCTATGTTACAACAGAGTCTCTTAATACAGCAAACAACCTAAAAATAAATTAAGCCGGGCATCTCAGGCTTTTTGCACCTTCAGAGAAAAGCAAATCTAAAACTAGAACAAAGTTCTTGAATGTTACTGGTGCTAATAAAGACTATATTTTTTAATACTTCAAACAGCAGAGAATTTGCCTTTGCTTCATAGTATCTTAGAACTATTCCGCTTGGGAAATTCTAGAGTATTCACTTTACTAGAGCTGAGACTAATGGTCAAGAAAAACAAAGTAAGTGACTCTAAAGCCATCCTAAGTATCGTTCAGTGGTACACAAAGGTGACTGTAATAATCCACACAAATCCATCCTAAAACCTGAAGAGGCATCCCACTGTAAAACTGCCAGCTTTACAAGAAGACATGATTAAGTGATTTAAGTAAATTGATACATAAAGGCAACTTGATCAGCCAACAAACTGTGTATCAAGGCTACAACTTTCCTTCCAATCCACATGGTTCCATCCATCACCTGCACTCTCTGATGGGAGCAGGAGGTTTGTTATTCCTCCTCTGCCTGTCTCCGCAAAACCATCAAACTAATAAAGCAAAATCCAAAGACATTTTGTTTTAATCACAGTGTTATAAAACAGAGGATCTGAAATGATAGTCACGGTACACTGAAAAGTCATACAGAGAAGTGGTGTGAAGTATCCTCAGTCAAAGAAAATCAGCTGAAGTTTGCAACACGCTGTCACATCATGTGTTCACCAAAGATTGGCTCCTTGTGGCAAGCAGGCTGCCCTCATTAGTCACCACTCGTAAGACCTTAGATTTCGTTTGCCATATGCAAGACAGAACAACTGAAGTGTCAGCAGCGCGAGGACAAGTCGCACCCAGCTATCCTGACTGATCATTCATTTGTCTGTAACCTCCAGAAATCAATATGTCTACCAGCGGTTAGGTAATGAAAGCAAATTAACAGAAAAAACCTCACACTGAGGTGAATTAATGTAAGTAACAGAAACTCTGAAAAACCCAGACAACTAATGTAGAGTTGATTAAATTCTACATTTCCTCTCATCAGAAGCTGCTTGTACAGACTACCTAAGAAAAACCTTTTCCATTCTGGAACAAGCTAGATATGAAGCTGGACTGCCAATTAACAAGCAGACATCACACAGCGAGTTACTGAATGGAAAAATAAAGGCAAGCTGTTTGTTTCCAATTGCCATTAAGCAGAACACATCAGCAGTTCCGTGTGCGGGGGTTTAACATGTTTCCACATTTAGCTCACTGTGGTTACATTGCACATGAACTTACCTGAAATATATCAAAACCACAGCTTAATGATGTTTCATTAAAAATGAAATACATACATTTATGACGATCAAAGAAAATTCATGACTTGAAGTTTATCTCAATCTTTTGGGCCCTGTCCCTCTGGCTTCATGCCTGGTTCTCATGTTAATGATGTGCCATGGCCCTGAGGCCTGTGGGTTACCCTTCGGGTTAGTTTTCCTGCACTCCCCACGCCAAATGAAACACAATCCTGAGCATGAGACACCCTAGGCCTCCTGAACATCTGTCCTGGTTTTGGCCAGGATGGAGTTAGCTTTCTTCATAGTAGCTAGTGTGAGACTGTTTCGAACTTGTGCTGAGAAGCTGGCTGATCACACACTGATGGTTAGAGCTGCTGCCAGGACAGTCAAGGACTTTCCAGCTTCTCTGCTGTGCCCGTGTCTGCAGGGGCAGGAGAAGCTGGGAGGGAGCACAGCCCATTACTACAGTGAGGATATCAGTGGACAACAAAAGACAGATTGCAAACGGTCCTGATTGCTACGTGCAGCATAAGAAATGTAAGCAGACATACAATGTACTGGACACACAAAGGAATTCTCTGCCACCATTGTAGCTTTTAGAGCATAAAGCCAGGCACTGTATTAGAACCTGTACAGCAGAACAGAACATCCTTACTCTGAGGAATTAATGTCTTCCTTCCCACAACTTTACTTTCAGACCTTTAAGCCTCAATCTGTGACTGTGCAATCTCTTTCCTCTGCGTTGTTCATTTCCTGGCTGTGCTTCGCTTTGTTTCCTTTAGAGGGGGTGATAAGGGAGTTGCTTCAACTAGTGGAACATGGAAAATGGTATTTATCATTGGGAAACGTGGGGCTTTTTATATCTTAAAGCAAGCATATTTCAAGTTTTACTAACTGTCTCTATTTTGTATTGTAAAAGAGCTGGAAAGAGCCCACCACCTCTGTACCATTTACACCTAGAATTGTACTACACTATTTCATGTAGGCTATGCAATCATGTATGTAAAAGCCCTATAGCATTTCCTATATTAACTCATTCCTCAGGCTTTGCAGTTTAAGGGCAACAGAACACTGCAATTATAAAGAACTATGACAACTGTTTGACTAGAGGAACACTAGCCTTTTCTCAGAATCCAGATTTCTACTGTTGACATACATTTTGGACATTTCATTTGTCCTTGTTTTGTGACTGTGCTACTTCTAAGGAGTTTATGCCAAGGAAGCTGGTGTGGCTTAAAGAACGAACTGTGGAGTAGAAAACCTCTGTTCTCTTTTGTGTCACTGACTTGTTCCTCAAAAACACCCGTACTTTTCCACTGCTGCTCCGCTGGTTCTGGTGAAGCCCAGGAGTAAGGAAGAACTAATCTATTGCCCATAAGCTTCAGCTGGTTACTTAGAGACCTCCTACTGGAAATTTGGGAAAATTTCAACAGTACAGCATATGCTCAAGATCTTGGCTGAATTTCATCCCAGGTAAGTACTATTGCACTTGATCTTCCAGACTACATTTTGTATTTGTTCAAAACAAACAATAAAACATTATTGTTTAGTAAAGTCAGAGGAAATATTTTCTAATAATGAATTCTGATTTAAAACCAAAACACAACATCCATATGGCAGAAAATGTGTTCTATTCCACACATATCAACATTTATGCACAAGTTAGGTTATTAACTATGTCAGTCAACTTCGCATGTTATTACTGAAATGAAACTCAGGTTTTCAAAGCCAGAAATTCATAAGGCCCACACAGCAAGCTAGCTTTCTGCTGTAGTAACACAAAATTGTGGTAGAAGGAGCCCAATAGCTTTATTTAGACTTGCAAATACTAAAGGGTGGAAAGAACAGCTTAACATTAGAGCTTGAAAAGAAACACGGATTTTTTTCCTCCCCATATTGACAGACTTCAAAGACAGAGGCTGCACACATCTACCCTTATAATGCTTTTCCCAAAGAATAGTTTTTATTTCTGCTTCCTTAACCAAGTTTTTGGAGTGGTAGGTAGTCTTTTCATACCCTCCTAAGACAAACAAGAGAATGTTTAAAAGTTTATTTTTCAGAATGCTGGAAGTCCATCAGAATCTCAGAAAACAGCCTGAAAGCATAGGGTGCATTTTCTTATTAGTACAAAACACGAAGATTATAAATCCAAACCAACTGTTCGCACATTGTAATTTTGATTGATCACATCTGTTATTAGATACTTCCTCATGCTCTAAGCTTTCACTGAGACTTTTTCTTTGAAATTTGACTATAATTAAGCTGCCCTTCCTAACTGCAAGAGAGCAGCACTCCCAACTATTCAGATTTGACAATTCTATTAATTCACAAAAAAACCCGCTTCATGCAGTAAAGGCTAAAAACATATTTCTTTAATATTGTAATTACTAAAATGAGTACCCTTAAGAGAACCAGTTGGTACTTAAGAACTTGTGCTTTACATAGATGCATATGTATATACACACACTCGGGGTGTTACTTTTCAAAAACACAGTTGAAAAAAATCCACTTTAATTAACTGCAATAATTAAATCCCTTTACACAAAAGTACACTGAAAAGCAAGAGCGCAGCATCTTCTTATTGGTTCTTAGCTTAAGCATCATGACTAAATAGGGTCACTTAGTTTATTTGACTTTTACTTCAGATCCGTTCAACTGATGGAGGTCATTAATCTTTGATGTAGATTTACTAAATTGGGTGCATTTAATATGTTGTCTTCAAGTTACTCAGCAAACCAGCCTAATGAAGACCTATATATTTAAGTGTTAAAAACTTCCAGAGAGAAATTTTATCCTTCCTCCAGCACAGCCAGACAGAACCATTTTCTTTCGAAACAAGCACACAAAGCAACATTAACCTAAAGTATCAAATATTTAAGTCTTTCATGTTCCACCATTTATGAGAATTTTGCAAATTAATATATTGAGTTTGGGTTAATAAATAAGATTTTTTAATGTCACTTGAAAGGAATTCATGCTTTTTAAGAAACAGAGTAGTCAACCTGCTGGTAGGACAGAGTTTTCAGTTAACTATATTATCAGATAAACTTATTGGTTTATTGTTAATGAAGAAAAGTCTGATAACAGTTTAAGACACCGTTTTCCAGATTCCCTCCCAGTTCCTGAATAAGTCTGTAACAGTTAGCCCTGGAATAAAATGCATATAAATTACTTTAAACTACATATCTAAACTGGATATGTCTCAATTAGCTACATAAAAGATTAATTTTAATTACTTAAAGTGACAAATGACAAAAATCTAGATTCTTTACTTCTTGCCTTATTCCGAAGGAAATTTGAACATCTAGAGACGGCAGCAAAGGATGCCTGAACAAACAGGTATCTCCGATTTGCAAAGCACATTACTTTCCCCCAAAGCAAGACAGATCCCACTATATAAAGAAAAATGAAGTCGCAACCGTGTCACCAGCAGATTAAGTACCTCCGTCTCCTTAGCTGGGCTGGTCGCTGTCTGCACTTCCAAGGCACAATTTGCCCTCTTGACGGAAAGATAGAACGGATAATCCTTGGCCACCATAGTGGCTGCAGGAAGGGCGGTTTCGGGGGTCACAGCTGGTTCTGTCTGAGTACAAAACGTGAAAACAAAACCGAGCCCCCCGTCCCCGGCACCCAGCAGCTCCGT